ATCGAACTGGACTCATAATTTAACATCTCTATGCAGAATGCAATGCGGTGGTAATCTTTTTTAAATTTAAGGGATAGTTTACTTGGATTATTTTTTAAAAGGTTTTTTATTTTTATTTTTTCTAATTTAAATATATTTTTAATATCCTCAGAAATAGTTTGGCAGCAGAGGATTTTATAACGTGGATCAAGAGCAGTAATAAATTTTATAAAGCAATTCTTATCTACAAGTAAAAAAGGTTGTTGGCTAATTACAATTAACTCTAATAAGCACCGATCTAATAGTTCTACACGATTCTTATTAAAAATTGAATACAAAGAAGGGCGAGAAAGTGTTTTATCAGATTTTTGAATTTCTCTAAAGGTGTTATAGTGGTGTCATTTAAAGTAGTATGTTATTGTCGATAATGATATGTGAGAACCCTATCTACCAATGCATTTACTTTTATCACAAATTTTGCAAACACGAGTTCCATCTTCAAATACATCGAGATATTCATAAACAGGAGCAAGTTTTTTTTTGGATTTCTTTTTCAACTGACTAATATTTTGATCTGTATCACTAACAAGTACTTGGTTATTAGGTTCAACAATGCAATCACTTTCAGAAAGGGTTTGAGTATTTTCAGATTCAATAGTAGACATATTAATTAATAGCTAGAATACTATCGAAAGTGATAGACAAGCAAAAAAAAAACTGAGCGATTTTATACAAAATTTTTGAGAACTTATATTACTTATGAGAGCATTTATTTTATAAATCACGTATTATAAAAAAAAAAAAAAAAAACATAATTTAGTAGTTTTTGAATTTGAACTGTTTTGTAACCTAGTCATTCTATGAAACTTCCATAATTGTAGGTTATTTAACCAAAACTTTAAGATCTATAATAATATATTATTGCTTTGTAAAAAATATAAAAAGAATAGGCGTAAAATGTGAATTTAAAAATTGTACAAGTTTGAAGTATATGTTATAATTTGATGCACATTCTCTGTAGTACATCGATTCTAGCAAAATTTGTTCGAGTCTATTACAAGAAGCTACATTAATAAGAGCGCTAGTACTAACACCAGCCCATAAGCTTGCAATGATAAAGATACTTATACGTATTATTATTAATTCATTATAAATTACTATTTGGGTTAGCATTTATCATTATAGGGCTTTGGTGAATTGCTTAAATTCGAAATTGATGTTTAAATTAACTTTGATCAAAAATTGTAGTGAAAATCATGTGATAAAATATGAAGATGCATCTTAAAATATGAATAGAAGATGTGCCAAAAAAATATAACATAATCACTAACAGTAAACATTGGCTCATTTTTTTAGTTCCTCGCCCCAACTATTTTTTTACAATTAGATTAAATAAGCATACATCAATT